TCAAATATGACTTCTTAACTCAGCTGGTGCCGAAATGCCCTCGGAAAGACTGGTGCCACTGTCCCCCTTGTCACCACTCGAGAAATCCTGACTCTTAGCCTTGCGGTAGGCTGCTGGCCAAATCCCCTGTTTTCCTGGGCTCAATATGCCGTGCGGGTCTAAGCAATCCTTGATCTTTTCATTTAGCCGCATCAATGCACCTTCGTTGAAGTCGTACTGGTCCGCCACCAAGTCCATGTGCTCAACATGTGCTCGGTACTCTCCATATCCGGCTCTCCGCGCGTCATGGACCAAGTCGACGAATAAATTGTTTGCGGCATCCTTGTCTTGCTGTGATTGTCGGTCGAAATGAATCATGTTGATATGGGTCAGATGGCGGAGATGGAGGTGAAGGCCAGCAACAAAGTCAAACCCGTACTGTGCACACCTATATTTGGCAACATGATAGAAGTCCAAAGCATCCTGGCCATCACTGGGCAGGACTGGGGAGAATGAGATGTGCCCTCTGCGGAAAATCCGGTTAGTGAACTTTTCCAAATGGCTCGAACATTTGGCGTAAACCTACCCATCCAGTCCTCGATATTCAATCGTCCTAAGCGGTGCCATGCTGGGTACCCCGGCTTGAAGGTCGTAGGGAATGTCATCGGCAGCCAAGTATTTCTTCCCCTTCGGATAGTACGCTGTCCCCGTGAGGACGGAACCCTTTATAGCTTTGAATGCCTCTTGACAAGCTTTGTAGTTGTGGTCAATGATCTCTTTGGGCCCGTAGAGCCCAAAGATTGCATCCCAGAATCCGATCCCGAGCTCGTGCTGAATCTCTTTCAGCCTGTCGTCAGGGATAGAACCAGGACCATCATACCATTGACTCCGTGGCCCTCTCCTGCAGATCTCCCTAATGATGTTTCCAATGACGGGATGATTTTGGATCTTCTCATGGAGTAAAAGTTCGCGAAAGATATCAACCAGATCCTTCAGGTCGCGTTCCTCAGGCACATCAATGTGACACAGCATTAGACCTTCCGGCGCGGGAGAAGCCCAGAGCGTCAGCTTCGTCACTATCCCAAAATTCGACTGGTTGAACATCTGGTCGTAAGTCGGGCCGTAGCCACCGCGGAAGAGAGGCCAGGATTTCGAGTCCTTGAGAGCTCCCATGCCAGTTCTGACAAGGCTGCCATCCGCCAACACCGCTTCGATTCCGCAAATTTGATTGGAATGATCGCCGTGAGGAGTATATCCCCAGCCCTATGTATTGTGTCAGCGACGCATTCAATGAAAGATTTGTGAGCAAGACGACTTACTCTGTCCAGGGCATTTCCAACTACGCTGCCCCAGCCAAGCGCTGGCACAGAACACCATATGTCCTTCTTCTGTTCTTTGATCGCCTGGTAAAGTTGGAAGAAGCTCACGCCAGGCTCGACGGTATAATAAGAATATTTGTCGTTGATATCGAGGACTTTGTTCATGTTCTGTAAGTCCAGGATGACAGATCCCTGCTTAAACATCAGCTCCGGTCACGATTTCCCCCCTGGCAGGATCGCATTTGTACCTTGACCCGTGCGGCAGGTCCACCATAGCCTAGATTCTTCCCCCGGGAGACTGTCCAGAGAGGGATTTTGTATTCGTTGGCGATCTTAACGATGGCTTGGATTTGCTCGACAGTTGTTGGGCGGATTGCACAGGAGCTTCCGCGCTTTTCTGCTTCATCCTCATTCATGGAGAAGGGGTCTGCGTAGCTCAGCCGGAGTTCGTCACCAACTATCACAGCATCTTCTCCCAATACTTCTTGGAAACGCTTGAGAATGAGCAAAAACGTCTCTCTCGAGATTCCGGGTGGCAGATATTCGACAGCGGGCTTTTCTTGGATCGCATTATACCAAAGACTCAGAGTTTTATTGGTCGTTTCGATCTCGCCGGGAATGTGACTTAGGTTGAATGGTGCGGGAAGGTTGGCGTCCATCTCGTAGAGCCTCTCTGCCTAAATCGCAGAAACAGGTTGGAGAAATGTTGATAGAAGCCTAGGAAACGGCGCCCTAGAGTCCATAGAGGAGTAAATATAGTCTTTACAGATTCAGCCTTTGGCCCAGAGTAACAGTGATTGACTCTAGGCTGAATGGCAAAACCGGCAAATACAGAATCGTGCATTTTCTTAGCCTCCTGCCCAGCAGCTTTACCATGAAACGCATATCTTCCGAAGAAGAAAGCCCCAGGGAAGAGGCTTGACTAGTCGAAATTGTCCAACGCTGGCTGAAGCCTTGTTCAGCTTCCCCGTAATCCATATTCCGATCTTTAGCGTCGGCGATATAGGATCCGATGCTCGGCATCTCTGTTTCCTTTCCTCGCGCTCTTTCCGGGTCCGTTACGAATATCATCCTTCCTCTATGCTATCCTTATACTTTCACCGTTCTCATGCGCACCAAGACGATGCCTACTGGCTACAGCTTTGAGGTCTTGGGGTATTTCGCCCTCTCAGATTCGGGTTAAGCTTCCCCCGCGTTTTCTCTTGGACTTTGTCTGGACCCCAGGTCTTCTGCTTGGCCCCGGAACGGTTCTCAAGTATGCACACCGAAATCTCGGGAAGAGGTAGCTTCCAAAACTATGCTCCCGTTCTGCCCTGAGGAATATTCATATATTGATCATGCCACCCGCCTGTATATCGAATGACCGCGTTGTACCCTTCCTCACTGTTGAATTTGACGCTTTCGTTCTCGAATCACCGCCACTGCAATAGGTACAGCGACACACCGCTCCACAGCGAGAGTCTTCTTCCATGGCCGACCCGACTGATACGCAACATGTGGGGAAGAGAAATACCAGCGTTTGGGCCAACATCAGATTCATCTGGTTCACCATTCTCGTGGGATTTTCTCTTCTTGAGGTAAGGACGTTACCTTGGATACTACGAGGCAGCACATTCCTAACTTCTGCTTGCAGTATGGATTCGATAATGGCGAAATCGGTGGATTCCAAGCGATGGTCGGCTTCCTCCAGGTGTTTGGTTACGAAGATCCCAGGGTTCCGACGGGCTGGAACATCCGGGTTCGTTCCCTCCTCGTCGGATGGCTTGATTTCTCTGCTGACTGGCCCACAGCCAGTCCCTCAACAGATCATCAGTTCTTTCATGCTCTTAGGCTCGTTTATCGCGAGTTGCTGCACTGGACTGATAGGCACCTATCTCGGCCGCCGACATTCCCTCATGGCAGGATGTGCCCTCTTGATCGTCGGCGTCACGATACAGATCGTGACCACTTCCATGGGAGCCTTGTACTTTGCTCGACTGATTACGGGCCTTTCGAACGGGATCTTGATGAGCTTCACTTTCCTGTACGTCGTGGAAATGGCGCCCCCCTACTTTAGAGGCCTCGGGTATGCTTTCTGCTCCTGCTGGGTTACTCTGGGGACTGCCATCGGATATGTAAGTTGCAGAATCCATTGCTTGGTAGAAGGGAAGCTGATTTGATCTTGGTCGTCAGGTCATCACCAATTCGACGGAGAAGATCCACAATCGACATGCCTATCAAATTCCCCTGTACACGCTCTACGCCATTCCGGTGATTATCTTCGGTTCCCTGCCATTTCTCCCAGAATCCCCGGTAAGTCTTGCGTTTCCCGCATCAGGCACTGCGTGGTTACTGAGTTCGGCATCTTCAGCGCTGGCTCCTTTTGCACGGGAAGAACGAACAAGCTCTGAAATCTATCACCTGGATGCGGAACGGCGCATATGACGAGCTCGCGCTGAGGCAGGAATACGAGGAAATGAAACTGAACGCCATGCACGAGATTGAAAACCAGTCGTCGATTCTTCTCTTCGACATGCTCCGCAGCCGCAACATTCGACGCAGCCTCATTAGCTGTGGCATCGGCCTGATCAATCCCGCCATGGGCGGTATGTTTGTGATGGCGTTTGCCACGTACTTCTTCACCGTGGTAAGGTCGCAGCCGCTTCTGTCTTTTTCGCCCAAGAAATATGCTGACGAGACTGCTCGCGTCTTTCCAGGTTGGCGTCGAGAGTCCCTTCAGATGGATCATCATGTGTCAATTCCTCGGTGTCTTGGGCCAGTGCACTTCCTACTTCTTCATCGACCGCGTCGGCCGAAGGACAATGTTGCTCATTGGAACCACCATCTGCGCGATTTCGATGCTGCTTCTCGGCATCGTGTCCACGCCTTCGAGCGTGCGGTACTCCAAGGCGTACGGGAAGGTGGTCATCTTCCTGTTCTCCTTTTACCTCTGGGGGTTCAACTTTGGAGTCACTTCCATGACCTATCTCGTGGCCGGAGAAATCCCCGCGCAGAATTTGCGCGCCTACACTTCGGGGATCTCGACCGGTTCGGGCTTCGTCTTTGCATGGCTCACCGCCTTCACCGCCCCGTACTTCATCAACCCCAGCGAGCTGAACTGGGGTGGGAAATATGGTGAGTGGGCTGTAATTCTACTCGCTGCGCGCACTGGAGTACTGACCATTCTTTTCAACAGGGTATATCTGGTTCGGGTCTTGTGTCGTGGCCATCGTCTTCGTGTACCTGTTTGTGCCCGAGGTCCGTGGGCGAACGCTGGAAGAGATCGAAGAGATGTTCGACAAGGGAATCTCTGCCAGGGATTTTTCCACCTATGTCTGCGACAATGTCATCATTGCACGCGAACAGGCCGAGGAAGTCGTCTACGGAGAGAAGAAGCCCGAGCGGGTCCAAGTCGTCCACATTGAGGCCGCCGACAGTGTGTGAACATGTCTGCAGATCGTCCCAGTCACTGTGAGCATCGTCCGAATCACTCCTTTGAAATAGTAACTTTGGAGGGAGGCACAGAATGTCGTTGTGGGACGGCAACCCGACTAGTCGCCCGCCTCCTGACGATATGAGAATGATGTTTCACTCTGTGCCAGAGTTTTATTCTTCCTGTTCTATAACATGACTGCTTTGGAGATCTCTCACGCCATTCACACGACGCGTAGTTATTCCATCAAAATCTCCCAGAGTGAAAGGGGAGTATCGTTGAGATGGACACTCTGAATCTGCATCCCATGGACCAAGGTCTAAAGCTGTTCGTTCACAAACAAGCCCGCCATGCCCATTCCGGTTCCCAGGCACATACTCGTGAGCAAAACCTTTCGTTTTCTCCTCCTGCATTCACTGAGACCCGTCACTATCTGCCGAACTCCTGTGCATCCGAAGGGGTCTATTTTCATGGATGTTAGTGCTCAAAGAACCAAATATTGGGAGGAAAGGGGTGGATCCTCGGAAGAGCCCTTGTTCATCAGGTACAGACTGATGGGAGTACTTACGGCCAAGTCTACAAGAAATGCGTTAGCTTGGGACCAAGATTGACGGAGGGGTTGCAGGGAAACAATGTTACGGTCGAAAAAGAGGGAGACTCACGCAATAGCGCCCCCTCTAGGGTTCATTTTCGTCCAGTCGAGGTTGAGATAGTCTCGACAGTAGACCGCCATGGAGGCGAAGGCTTCGTTGATCTCCACCACGTCGATATCCTTGTCAAGCGACAGATTGTACCGGGCAAGCAATTTGGGGATGGCGAAGACGGGGCCGATGCCCATGATGCGTGGGGGCAGGCCGGCGAGGGCTGTGCCAACGTACTTGGCAAGGATGGGCTGGTTCAGCTCCAAGGCCTTTGACCGCTTCATCAGAAGCAAAGCACCGGCTCCTGCAGACAAGCACGCGGTATCAGTCTGGATACGCTATCTGTAGTGAACGTCTCTTTAGGGACTTACCATCGGTAACTTGACTAGCATTGCCGGCATGCGTGGTGTCCCCATACTCCGGAAAGGCAGGGCGAAGGTTCTTTATGCCGTCGTACGTGGTGCCCCATCGGATTTCGTCGCGAGAAACCGTGATGTCCTTGCCGTCCTTCTTGACGGTAATCGGGACAATCTCGTCGTCGAACCAGCCGCTCTTCTGCGCGAGCTCGGCTCGCCGGTACGACTCAACGGCGTACTCATCCTGCCGCTGCCGAGTGACATTGAATTCCCTGGCCACATTTTCGGAGGTTGCACCTAGTCATCCGGGAAAAGGTGTACGTCAGATCCCGTTTCTGGCCGAAGTTCGTGCTGGGCTTACTTACCCATCGGCAACATGCAGTCCTTTGCGTCATCGCTGCCATTCATGATCTCGTCCACGAACGGCCGGCTCAGGCGCTCGTTCCCTTCGCTCAGGGTCTCGGCGCCGACCACGACGCCGATTTCAATGGTACCGGTTATGATTTCGTTTGCGATGAATTGCGTCGCCGTCAGACCCGAGGAGCAAAAGCGCGCCACGCTCGACGCGGCGGATGTGTTGGGGAAGCCTGCCGCAAGCGACGCTGCCCGGACATAGTACGCAGCTTTGCCGTCGCGGACCTGTACAGGAGATCAATCACCCGGACATTCTCCGAATCCAAGAAGTGCCTCTTACATTCCCAAGGCAGACATCGTCCACAAGACGCGGGTCGACGTTGCTCCTGAGTCGTACTTGCTCGAGAATCTTGAATATCAGGCCGTCTAGCGTCGTGTCCTTGAAGCCACCCTTCTTGGCCTTGCACATGGGCGTCCTGATCGCGAGGGTGATCACTACATCGTCGGGACTTTGCTTCGCGCTAGTTCGTCACACTGTCAGCCCCGAGAGACACAAACGAATCATCAGTCCCGTCCATACATGTTGTCTACCGCGCTGGAGGCAGAAGGTAGGTGGGAGAGGACGGCGGAAAGACGTTGGGATGCCATGGCGATACAGATGCCGCAAGTGATGTTTGTTCGCCCAACCTGCAATTACGAATCAGTAGCGTGGGCAAATGTCTGATCGGACTTTTGTTTGTTTGTGTCGATTGAAGTTCCTAGGCTTGAATCGGCTGTGGCCAAGCTGAACCTCGGATGTTGGTGCAGCTGCCGGCCGCGGGGTAAAACGAATTGGGGGAAACGCCGAGTACATTTGCCAACGAGGCAAGGCTCTGCCTGCTCTGAATAAAACATATCCATTCGCTGCGGGTGGCGGGTCACTCGATCGAGTACTATCCGAAGGTTCTGTCTAGCGAACTACACTGCTTTACGTTCTGCTGTCAGCCACAACGGAGTCTGCCAGGACGAGCATGGGCAAAAAGGGACACGAGGCTCTAGAAGTGGGGCCCCAATAGGGGGTTTGTAGGGGGTACCATGCTATATCTTCCAACTTACTTGAGCGAAGAGTAAATTGATGTAGTGTATCATTCCGCTTCACACTTCCGCGCTGCACCTTTATCCGAGTCCTCAAAATTGACGTATCCTTTCCCTTTAACGATGGTATAATACCACGGCTGCTGAGCCGGTTCTTCAACGAGGGCAAGCATAGCCTTAGCTCTGACCTCGCCACTCATGAGTTCGCGTGCCGGTCTCCCGTCACTCAATCGCTCATCCGTATAGTAGAATTTGTATCCTGCTTCGCGATAGGCGACGACACAATCCCAGATACAATGAGCCATTGCTGCTTTGTCCATCCCAAACGTCAGCGCTTGGGGCGACGACATGACGTGTAGTTTGTTGCCAGTGTAGAAGAACGTCTTCGGCGTTGATGGAGGCAGTCTAGCGAAGCCTTTCACTGCGAAAAGACACGCGATGAGAGCGCCCGCGACATTAATGTTGTGATCATGTTGATACTGTGTGAGAGAGAAAGTAGACATTGGGTCGTTTGGTAGCTGAAGCGTGCGTGCAGCAGCATTATAGATGACAATAGTCGGTACGCCCCAGTACGCCTCGACTTTGGTGAAGATGGTTGGAACTTCGTCCGGATTGCTGAGGTCGGCAGTGATGTTTAGGACGCCTGCAGAATCGATACCCTCCTCCCTGCTTCTCGATACTGCTGCGACACGAAATTTGTTGGCTGAAAACTCCCTGACGACGGCGTCACCAATATTAGGCCCAGCTCCTAACAGAAGGACGACTGGATTGGGGACTACCACAGCCATCGTGACAGATCTGCTCTCCGTTGAGGTCTAACTTGGCTGTACATGAGGACGAATGGCCTATTTGTTCCTTTTCAGAAAATGGACCGTTGGTCCTCGCAATCGACAGGTGGAGACATTGGGTTGTAGATCGTCTCAGTATTGGAGGAAGGGGCAGCGAACTTTAGCTCGATCGGGGCCTGACGGGATCGGAGAAGGTGGCCTAAGGTGGCTTTAATCGCCAACAAGTGTCGGAGAAGTGGCTTCGATTTCAATCATCGCAGTCCGACTGGTCTACCACCTCCGTTACGCAGATTCACCAATTCCGCGAAAGGATTGACTGCCATACTCCAGATTGACTTCGATGTGACATTAGACACGTCATTGTTGACCCTCTTACACAACAGTGCAAGATCCATCAGAGCTTCATAGGCATTTTCCTGGCATAGTGGCAAAGATCCACCCTCAGCTTGAGATCGCAGCAAGCAAGGTAAGTCTTCCGCCTTTTCAGCTTGGATATGTTGGGAAGCCGAGGAGTGCATGCCGACATAGATCCACAAAGCTAGAGCAGAGTCGTAAAGAGCAGCATGAGCCAAGCGAGTAAGGGGCGCCGTCCACAGATGAGCTCCGGCGGCTGCCCTATGCGTGATCGTGTAGATAGCACAAGAATGCGCGATGGCCAAGGTAGCAACAGAGTCTGTAGCCCAGCTCTGAGCAATGTCAATGAGTCCGTCATCGATCTCCCGAGCCTTACTGTTATCAACAGGAATGCGGTGGAAGTTTTCCAAAGGTGCGTGGAACCTTAATAGCGCCACATGGTGAGATAGAAGCGCAGCCACCAATGTGTTTTGATCCTGCCCGAGATGGGTCGACATGTCATCGATTCCGGACAGAGGCATTTCTTTGACGACCGAGCTAGACCGACCGTCCAGCAAGGCAGTCTCGAACAAATCGAAGAGCATGGATTTCTTCTGTCCCCGAGAAGCACATGATCCTATCTGGGTAACATCTCGGGTTTCTTTGCTTGTTGAAACTTGAAATCTTCGACTTGCAGAATACCGGCATTGTCGACTTTGGTGAGCACACTTACTGCAAGTGGGCTGTCCGTCGCATTTTGTCTTGGAGCGGCGGCAGGCATCACACGCGACGGCCGTTAGTCCAATTCTCGAGTTCACAATCGCCGTTGGACGTGGTGACTTTGGCGCATGCAACAAGCGATGCCGATTAAGAATATCCGCTCGACAGAAGACCCGGTTGCAAATGTCAGACATGACTCTGGTGGAGATTATGGTTCTGTAGGTGGCGAGTGAGTGTGTTCCTGCTCTTGTACACGCTCTGGCAGAGGTCGCAGGTGTACATAGGATGATGACTCAACCGTACGAGTAAAACAACCGACTTGAGAATGAACGAGGGCTATTAACGAAACTGGATTTTCGGGAGCAAATCGACGATTAGTCGACGGTACCTAGGCTAAGGTCTCGAGTCTAGGCTGCATCTGGATGAGAGGCTTTATGGCGAGGCCTCTTCCGGGAAGTGCATTCTTTCGCATACTTCGACAAGTAGGATAGGAAAGTTTAGAAAGCATTCGGATTGTAAGTGAGCGTGGCATGTGGCATGGCTCGCTGGGAGCTGATCATGGAGTAATGGACTAGCGCCGAGCGATCTTGGCGTCGAGGGGAAAAACAATTTTCCTAACGCGGCGGTGACTGACGGCCGAATCCGGCAGGAAATTTCCATGCGTCCCGCGTCACCAGCGTTGTCCTATACAATTTCAACTTGGATCCGCGGGAACTTTGTGCGTCTGGAGAAGGTCGACGAAATACAAGAGACTCACCGCAACTGTCTATAATCGAAATCCCGTCTCTTAGTGTGCAGCCAGCAAGATGATGCACCCGGCGCGTCAGGCGTATGTGGAGGAGGAGCGTCAGGTAAGATACTCCGCCGCAAAGCATACTCTACTGTGTCTCTTTATTTACATTTGCCTCCAAGGCTTTATCTGCTCTCACGATGGATCAAGAGGGGAAGCCATGCAAGACTGACGGACATGGCTGAGACGCAGGACACCGAGATGGGCGTGGATTTGGCAAGCATCCGTAAGTATTGCGTCTCCGGCATTCTCAAATATCTGGACTCACTTTCCTGCCAGCTGTCGATCGAAATTATGACCTCCCTACCGGTGCCGGTGGCGTTGCGCCCGAAAAGGCATCTGCGATCCTCTCCCAATTCGACCGAAAACGAAGACTGGCCATGCTGGCTGTCCCCACAGATGATGGAAAAGTCAGATCACGTTTGCGCGAACTCGGAGAGCCTGTCACACTTTTTGGGGAGGACGCCGCAGACAGACGAAGCCGATTGCGGGAGCTGTTGTTGGATCAACAAGATGCAGCTGGCCCTGATGGAGCCGATGCAGATGTACAGATGCACGAAGCAGACGAAGATGCGGATCAAGAAGAAGAGTTTTACACCGAAGGTATGCCAGAACTGCTCGAGGCGAGAAGAGCGATAGCTAGGTATTCCCTACCAAGGGCAAAGGCGCGGATACAGAGACAAAGAGAAGACTCTACCATTCCGCTGCGCACACATATCAAGCATCGCAAGGAAATCAAAGAGAAGTTACAAGGGTTTGAACTGTTTGGCACACAAATTGCCGGAGAGCGGCCCGTCAGTATCACTCGATTTTCTCCAAACGGCAAGATCATTGCCGCCGGCAACTGGGGCGGTGGCATCAAGTTATTAGATGTCCCGAACCTGGACGAAAAAGTGACCCTCAGAGGTCATACGGGCATTGTTGGCGGGCTTGCCTGGTTTCCTGGTGCAACACTACAAGAATCCAATGTGTCTCCAGATTCCCTAAATATCGCAAGCGGCGCTGGCGGGCAAGGCGGAGACAGTGACATACACCTCTGGTCATTGAACAAGGAGACACCAATTGGCACTTTGCAAGGACATACCGATCGTGTTTGCAGGGTCGAGTTTCATCCGTCGGGGAAATATCTTGCATCGGCCTCATTTGACACGACCTGGCGATTATGGGATGTGGAGACGACAACGGAGCTCCTTTTGCAAGAAGGACATTCGAGGCAAGTATTTGCCGTCAGTTTCAATACTGACGGCTCATTACTGGCAAGCGGGGGATTTGATAGCATAGGGAGAATCTGGGACCTTAGGACGGGGCGCACCGTCATGATCTTGGAAGGCCACATCCGTGAAATCTTCTGCCTGGATTGGGGCAATGACGGATACCGCATCCTATCTGGCTCCGGTGACGGATGGGTCAAATGCTGGGATCTTCGTCAAGTGCGCAGTGTGGGAGGAATTGGTGCTCACAATGGCAACGTTTCCGACCTGAAATGGTTCAAAGGCCTCGATGCCGACAAGTCATCCCTGGTGGAGAGCAGTGGCGTCAGACAGGAGCACAATCCTCGAAAAGCCGGCACATTCTTTGTGACGAGTGGTTTCGACAAAAACGTCAACATCTATTCGGCGGATGATTGGTCGTTTGTGAAGCAGCTCAGTGGACATGCGGGCAACGTTCTCAGTGTCGATGTCACCAATGACGCCAAGTGGATTGCCAGCAGTGGTCATGACAGAACTGTCAAGCTATGGGGGCGTGATGATGGCCAGGGCATATGAAGTTCCTTGTGCCTGAAGGAACAAACTTATGTTGCAATGAGAATGCCGTGCGCATGCAAAGGCCAAAAGAGATCACTGTGAGCTCAGTGTTTGGATCTGTACAGCAGAGTGGCTATTCACGGCCGTTGAGACCCTTGCCGCTGGAGTCCTTAATGCGCCGGAATCCCACATGTGACTGCTTCAGGAGCTCGATGGGCATGAGAATTACCTTCACCCTGAAATCATCCCAGCGCTGCCCTATATGGAGAGTGCCATTACGGTCGGGACTGGCTTGAGGTTCATGAATCGACCTGGTAGCTCCTGTGTAAAGCTTGGTCAAGCACCTCTCGCCCTCAGCCATAGGTGGGCGACTATGGCTCTGTAGCGAGTAGTTCCTTCGTCCAGTTGTAATAATATAGACACCACGCCATGAACGGAGTAGATCAACCTCAACGGCCGAAGTAACACAAGGCTGCGCAAGGCTGCATATCATCCATGACTCATCACGGCACCTGGACGCTGTGATTGGCTGCAGCCTGCGCTCGGACTCAAGATCCCGCCGGCTCCGAAATCGAGCGCTTAACAGCGAGTCCGAAAACTTTGCCCAGGCCTCCAAATGCCACCTCGATTCTGATTTCTAATTACGCCATAGCAGCTGCTGTCATTATCCTTTGTGTTCCTCTCTCCAATATCCATCTGCATCTACTATCCAAGTGGAGGCCGTTGATTGCGGGTTGCCTCCTCCACGTCCGAACCATGTCAGCCTAGGTGGTCAGGAATTCAGTTTGTCATCACGGGAGATGCCTTGCTGGGCGGGTCGCGTATGACGGAGTTCCCAACCAGGCATCGATATAATACAACATGGCGCCAGAGAAACCACTTCCTGTCGAAAGCCTGTTACCGTTCAAGCAGAACCGCTCCCCCGAAACACGGGCCATTCTCCAAGATGCTCAGTTTCAAGACTCGAACAGCCACAGTCAGTCCCCGGAAAGTCTGGAAGACGATGAAGGCTCAGGCAACGAAAAGCCCAAACGGCAGAAGCGGTCACGTGCGTGCGTGGCTTGCAGAAACATGAAAATCAGATGTCTCCCCGTCGAGGGCCAAGATGCCTGCAATGCATGTGCCAAGGTCAATCGTGAATGTGTCATGCCAGGGCCCCCGCGGAAAAGACAGAAAACAGTCCACAAGGTCGCCGAACTGGAGAAGAAAATAAACGCCTTGACCGACGCTTTGCTGGCCAAACAGCAGTCGACAGATGGCGCGAAGCCCGAGGATGAATCGCCTCCCAAAGATGCCCCTACCAGTGGGAGCTCGGAACCAGCCAAGACTGACGACACCTCCAATACCAGCCTGGACACCTATCAGCGGAGCCTCATGGAAAGGGCATTGCGGCCCACCGCTCAACCAGAATTCAACAGAGGTTGCAACCCGGTGGATGTGGAGCCTATTGCTAAAGACGACTATGTCGATGTCATTGATCGCGGCGACTTGAGCATGGAGAGCGCGACAGCGATGTTCAACCACTGGATGAAGGACATGTGCTCTTCTTGCCCATACGTCGTCTTTCCTCCCGACACCGACCCGCAGGAACTTCGAAGGACCCGACCTATAACGTTTCTGACCATTTTAGCCATTGCAAGCCCTGTCGTGCAGCCTTCCGCCCAGACAGCGCTTACCATTGAGATTAATCGGCAGATTGCAGAACGAGTGCTCTTTCACGGCGACAAATCATTGGATGTGATTCAGGCGATGCTGCTGAACTCTCAGTACTATGTACGACCGCGCACGGCAAGGGATCTTGCCTTTAATCAAAACATCCAATCAGCCATTTCCCTGTCTCTGGAATTAGGTATAGGCAAGAGATCGAAGCTGAAAAGAAGTCCGGCCGAAGAAGTTGAACTGGCCCGGACATGGTTGGCCTGCTATCAGGCTAACATAAAGTAGGTTTGCTAACCCCCTAATTTTGTGACTCTGATCGTGCTAATTGTTCCCAAATCACAGTGTCACCACCATCCTTCGTCTCCCGACCCTCATAAGGTTCAGCCCACGCACAGAAGAGTGCCTGGAGATACTCAGAACCAGCCCCCATGCCGCCCCGAGCGACAGATGGCTGTGTGCCACCGTGGCGCTGGCACGTCTTGCCGAGGAAGTTGCTGCAGCTTTCAACATGGACGATCCTGGCGCCGATCTCGATTTTACAGAGCCAAGGGTGCAGTATCAGCTGAAATGCTTTCAGCGGCAATTGCAACAGTGGGAGAAGGATACTGATGTCGCGGTGGATCATCGTAAGTCTCGGCGGTTTATTTTTCTGTTGAGAGAGTGGACTAATTTGTGGGAAGGACTTGTGCAACACCAAGCAGCATGCCTCAACCTCTATATCCACGAGATCGCTGTGCACTACGACCACAACGTAGATGACTTCCGACCTGGAGTCCCTCCGTTGGAGCAGCGCAGGGCACCCGACTTTGTGACATCTGCTCACATTGAGGCTTTGTCGACTCTCTTAGAGAGCAGTCACCGAGTCCTTGACACCTACCTCTCTCTCGAGGTCAAGTGTGCTCGAAACCTGTCCAATCTCTACATTGTCTGGAATGCCTATGCTGTTGTGGTATTGATCAAACTGCACTGGATCTTCAACTCCCCAGAGTCCAAACTCGGCTCGGTCTTTGTCCCTGACTTGAAGACTGGATATTATTTGGATGCTGTTCTCAATCGACTAGGTGAAGTGTCAGCCGGTGGCGGGAATCCCTGTGCAGAAGCTTTCGGATTCGTCTTCATGAAGCTCAAAATCTGGCACATACACAGATCAGGACAGCTCTCGGATGACGAGCAAGGGCAAGATGATCAGACACGACGTCGGCGAGCATCCAGCATTCTGCGGCAAGACCCCGCGTCCATCATTGCCTCCGCAAAACGGATGGAATACCCTGGGCTTGGAAGCGCCGCGAACCTACCACCGACAAGGCCTTATACACCAGCTCTGCTTCCTGGCGGAGGTTGGACGAATGTGGACAAATTTGGCTCGAACTTGAACGCCGCGTACGATGCTGCTAGCTACGGAAACACCAACTGGGACCAGTTCAATTTTAGCACCGAAGAATTGGATATGTTTGATATTTACATGAACAACAGTGGATGGATGGGGTATCTGCTTTAGGGTCGGTTCTCTGGCATCTCACACGCGATGTCTAACCTAGAGACTGGCCAAAAATCATTGTGCACAACTGCTATCAAAATATTAGATGTTCTCGCGAGGTGAAGAACACCAAAGGCTGCAAAAATTCACAACAACGATTTGTGCGAGAAACTCAGCTCCATCCGATAACCCCTTCTCCAAGAAGCTTTCTCCTCCGACCATCGACAATCGATACTGTCCGTCCCACAACCCCATCTCCGCCGACACCGAGATTGAGTCTCACGTCGACAGTTGTGGAATCGCTGGCCGTATCGACGAAGAACGAATACAAGACGGGGTTGGACGGGTCATATTCGTCTTCCGAGTCCGAGTCGAGCCCAGAATGTGATGGTGTTGATAGGGGTTGCCCATATTTGCTGAGTGAAGAGTCGTCAGCAACCTAAATGCCGCACAAACAGGGACAGGGGACGGCGTCATACGTACTGTATTCTCACGTTCAAGAGCGCGTCCGGCCGCCAGAAGTCTGAACCGCTACCTGCACATTGGAGGGTGGTTGTGGTTGCTCCTGGCGCTCGATTCGACAGTTTCAGTCTACCTCGAAACGACGATTGTGGATTTGGATGGATGACGGCGATCAGGTCGCCAGACTCGGGAGCTGGAGGAAGATGAGAATCGCCACACATGTCTTTTTGCTGCGTCGCACAGGTTCAAATGTTGGGTTGAGCGATGATAGTTACGATTTACTGTATGAGTATAGCACGCAAATGGTCCTGATGGGAATGTGCGAGAGGCCACAAGATATACGACTGGGGCACCCTCATATACTCTCCCCTTGGGGACATGGGCGGAGAAACCTGATGCATTGTTTACGAGGAATATCTGCTCAAAGATCTCCAATCAATCAAAATCCAAAACGAAGAAGCATACTCGTAGGCTGGAGAAGCATCCCATTCCACCTCGCACCCAGCCTCCCGGGGACAAAAGTAGCCGCTGTTGAGCAAGATATCGTCACTCCTAGCCTCGTCCTCATCTCCTGTGCCCACACGCTATGGAGTTGGAGATGTGCATTTTCTGTGGTGAGTGTGCAGTCGTGTTTGAGAAGGTGAGCAGGTTTCTGACATTGTGGCTAGGCGGGAATGTAAGGGAGATGAGGCTGAGGGCAGATTCGTGAGCAGGTTTTTGTTGTTTAGGGTCTAATTTTAAAATGAGAGGCTGAAGGGGGGCGGAGTCTCCAATATTAATTATTGCTTTTCCTACGGCGTCCCTATGGTGAGAGGATCGAGTACGGAGTACCTAGGCGGTAGTTGCCTCACCTCCACAGCTCGGCGACAGCCTTAACCACCGTTGCTTTCGGGTACAATACTGCAAGTCCGTGGGGAACATTGTCAGCCTTGCCTTTGGCTATATGCACCCAGCTGCCGCCCACGCCATCTATCAGGCCACTCTTCTGACACAGACTAGGCCTTCGCGTTATGATATTTGTACACACAACGGTGGACTTTGATGGGAGACGCTACATGGACTCCGTGGCCGTTGTATGGATTTGGCGTTTGACGTCTTCCGATGATCCGACCATGCAGTGGCGTTTCAGCGTGGACAGATGCGACAGCAGGTTGGTACACATTGGTTTCAGACGCTTGCATCGCATGGCACATTATGGAGTCTCTCTGCTACGTACGCCATGAGAGAATTGTCGAAAGATAGGGTAATAGGAACCAAGAATGCACTCGTCATGGCTTGGCTGCCGAATGCTTATATCCCACTATTGACATCCCATGCCATCTTCGCTAGACAACAAATACACAGTGGCAATCGCTCACTCCCAGACCGCTCTGAAAACACAATGCATCACAAGCAGAGCATCACTGCTCATCCAAACAAAACCATCAAAACCATCACAGACGAACAGCACCTCCCTCAACGAAACCATCAGTCCATCGCGACAGCCAAAGCCCCGGCGACCGTGCCCAGCACCAAAACCCAAGTCCGCACATAATTGTGCCATTGCCACCGCTTGATCGCTTCCTCGGTGCTCATCTTCCTATCTCTGTCGATGCTGCGTTTCTCGTTGAAAGCGTACGTCAATGCCATCTCGCCACCGCCAGGGCCTGCTAGACGGTCGGCTTTTCGCGACAGAGCGCCGTTGGTCCGACGCAGAAAGGTCAGTGCGTAAGGTACGCCCGACGCACTCGCCGAGGCAGCGAGGATGTACAGATAGCGAAGAAGGGATCCCTCGGGAGCTAAAGGGCCTCTGGATCAGCAACTTCAGAACTGGAATGCTGATTTGTGATGGCCAAACCTACCGTGATATGCTAGGTACCCAAACGACAAGCCATTGATCACGCACATGGGCCTAGAAATCTGCATTCGCCAGGAGTGTCAGAAAGAGTACACTCAATCAGGAATGCGAGCAGGAACAATCAACTACTGACATGAAAGCCCATGAGATACTGGTAGCGCCATTCTCGGGCGGCCAACGCGTCGGGAGCAAAGAGAATCGCCGGCACAGCCGCATGGGAAAGAGCCCAGGTGTATCCTAAATCAGACGACAGAAGAGATCAGCTTCGTCATACGGCACAGACACATGCGAGTACCTTCGCCACCCTGTCCCATAAGAGGGCTCAGGAACAAGGGGCCGAGGGGTGGGAAGAACAACCTGCAAATATGCCCGACGAAGCCAATCCACAGACTTTGGCAAGAACAGCGGTGTCCATCCTGTCGTCCCGCCGATGGGAATTCTTTTCCTTCCTCTTGATCTTCAAAGCAGCGTGTCGCAGCTGGATGGGAATTTGGATTTCCCGAAACAACTTGACTGCATTCACCAAGAAAAAAAAACCAGGAGGAAGCAGTTATCACCCAACAGCCAGCGGCGCCCAGTTCAGTCCCCGCACATTCGACACTCGCTTGAGTAGTAAAGACGACAGCGAACACGCGGGAAAGGGGAAGAGTGCAAACAAACCCCCTGGGGACGTTAATTATAATCTCTGAGCCCGCGCCCACCAATACATCACCACTCATTCGTGGCCCCGGATAGGGCGTCAGATCAGCGCTAGTCGGCGCCAGATACGAGGACCGACTTGAGTTGGGTACCTTTGCGATTAGGGCGAGACGGCAGGCCCCTTTCCTCCCTCGGCCCAGCCCTGACTGAACCTGGACAATGGACAACGGCCTGCGTAGTGTATGTATGTACCCAGGGTAATGGGGGCACTTGGCTCCAAGAGCACGCACGGTAGACCTGCAAAACCAGAAGCCACACGTTTGTTAGTTAAGCGAGCTCAGCTGGCCAAGAAGGAAAACAATTCCCGGGTTTTTGTGGGCAGGGCGCCCATGGAAAGGGACAAAGCCCCGAGGCGAGGCGCAAGATAGATCCTTTTTTCCCTTTATTTTACGAGGGCCACCAGGCTTCGCTCGTATCATTCAACCTCGCCCACCAGGAGCACGTCGAAGTTGCGCGCCTATCATCATCGTCATCGTCATCGTCATCCTCACTCCAACATGCTGGTCAGTAGTATCTAGGGTCTAGGAAACTGTATCGACGAGGACCGAGCACTCTAGAGTCTATTTCCAGAGACGGCAATAACAGGCGCAGTCGACACCAGTGCCGCGCAGGAAACCACCCACCCACGTCGGGCTGCAAAGGCGAGGCCCGCCCTGTGTGTGAGCAGTTCTACTCGGTAGTTCGCGGCCATTGAGCTATTCGCCGTCGCTTCAAGGGCCCAGGATCAACTACCTTTCCATTCGAGTAGGTGATTCCTCGAGTAGGCATTACTACTACTACCTCGTCCTTGTAGAACACGCCATCCTCGTAGGGGGCGCGCTTCTTGCACTGTAGCCCGCCGAGTCGAACTATTCGCCTCCTTTTGCACCCTATGCATGGGAAACAGAACGGTAATATTCGCACTGGATTGGCGAATTCAAGTTTCAATTCTCGTCCTGTCTTCTTCGCATTGTTTCGTTCTACTACCGACTCCATCCCCTGCCTCCTCCTCCATCATTATCGTTATCAACCACAGCTACAACCATCCGACTTCCTTTTTCCACCCTCGTCTTCCCGGCCACCCTCGCGACCTGCCTCGTCTGGATCTGGAACACGCTCATCGGCGGCGGATCCGGGAGCGCGCCCGCGGTCAGCCCTAGGACCGTGCGGTCGAACACGCGCGCAAACTGGGCCGCCTGGGCCGCCAGGGCCGCCGGGCTCCCAGCGACGCTGTTTGGGTCAGACGTCGCTTGGGGCGGCTGGAGCTGGGAGAGTGAGGTTCAGATGCTGGACTTGATGTGCTGCACCTGCTCTGCTGAGCAGATGTGGCATTGGCGACTCCCAAATCATGGTGTCCGTTGCGGTTCGTCATTGGCCTTCAGGATTGACAGGAGCGTTCCCGGCTCGTACCCCCACAGGATCTCGAGCTCTCGGATCCTCCCCAGCGAGCCCCATCCCGTACTTTCGTGGATGAGTCTCAACAGTCGCGCCACCGCGAGATGTTCGTCCAGATGCGTAAAGTACCTGCCGGCCAGACAGAGCGGCTGGATCGCGTTGATCAAGTTCCCGCGGTGTGGGTTGGTCAGGGAGATCCCACAGACTCGTCGTGCGTGCCAAATGGTCGAATCTTGCGAGGATGTCGGGGCCATCTCAGTCCGTGGCTGATGGAGCTCGAGCATCAAGATGCACGCCGTGTGGTAGGACTGGTTGCTCGAGATGGCGGCGCGATGCACGAATAGAATGTCTGGAAAGAGCTCGTCGCCGGCGCCGGCGGCCGACGTGACGGGCTGCATCGCCGGCGGCCGGTGAGAATACCAATGCTGCAGGTCAGTCCAAAGCCGCCGCCACTGGGCTTCAAAGGGTCGAGTGTCGTATTGATCTGCTTGGTCCGATTCCAGCAAGCTTGTTCGACGGTAACTTAGGTCGGTGACTTTCGCACACAGGTAGATGGCCCAGTTTCCATACATGTCTGGGCTGTTCGCGCTGTGCTGCTCAAACATCTGCCGTACCATCTCTTCACGCCGGGCCAGCGGGTGTATCAGCAGCCTCGCCGGCGCCAGCCACTGGTCGATGTGAAGGACGGTGCTCTCCGATCCGTGGGCAAGAACCGCACCGCAGACATCCATACGAGCGTAGCACCAGAAGACGGCTTGTAGGAGCCCACCACAGAAGCCGTGGACGTTGAAGAGGCCGAGCAGAGTGGCGCAGCCCTCGACATGTCTTCTCCAATCCCACGAGCTATCCGACATGAGCTCCAGGCAGGCTAGGATGCAGACGACGGCGACCATATTCGCATCCCTCGCCTGCAGCCCCGCAGCTAGTAGAGCAATCGACTCTTGATAGAGTTCAAGACTGTCGTAAGTCTTCTGTGCGCCTAGCTTCCTCTCCATGTGTCGAGCGGAAAATGCCAGGATGGCATAGAGCAGCGCCGGCGAGCGTCGGGCCAGGAGGGGGATTTCCACCGCGAAATGCTGGGCCTCGTCGAACTTGTCCAGGCACGGCGCACTCTCCGTGATCCAATGTGTCAGGTACTTGATGAGTCTCGACTTGGAGATGGACGTGCGTCCGAAATCCGGCTCCTCTCGGGGATACTCTGCGGCTGCGTCACTGCCTGCGTCGATCTGGGTCGAAAGCGGTGAACAAGCTCTCGTATTGAGGAGGCTTGGTGCTTCAGCGAAGAGCATCGTACGGAGTTCCTGCTGTAGCTCACGGAATCGTGTATCGGGGGAGAACTCGTCAGGGGTGGCGTGCGCTGGTGGCCACAGGAAGTGCCCATCATCATCTGTGTGCAGATAGCCATGTTGAATGGTTTCTGAAGAAGCCGACAGCTGCAGCTGATTGACCACGAAGCCGGCCATGACCTGCTACCGGCGAGCGGAGTTTCCACCCTTGAGTGCGAGTACCATCTATAAGCCCAACACTAAGGCAGTCATTGACAGTCGAAGTGGTATCTTCCAGCTCTTGGTGGTGGTACAGTCTTGTGCCCTCTTCGTCTGCATATAGAGGGTAGATCACCTCAGAAGGCCCGAGAATCCGCTCTCAGCCTCGCGTGGGCAGGTTTGACATCGAAGTGGATATAGATATTTGATATCAAACCATCTGAGTGGCAAAAGACAGTCAAGATCCGTCTGGTTGTACTGGTATTCAGGGTGGTCGAGACCTCGGGACCGTCCCATTTATACTTCGTGATGCTCTTTCAGGGACGTCTCGGGCCACTACTAACCTTAGGCAGGGGGTGTCTTTGGTCATGCGAGGCTTTCCCGAACCCCTCCCTCATCCCCCCACAGATGGGGTGCATGTCTCGCTTGGCCTGCTCTGTCCAAGCCAATCCAGCTACCTACTTGCTCGGGAAGGGATTTCCAGGCAGGTTGGTGGATGTATGGACCAAGTTTTCTTCGCCACGGTGAGGCACATGAAGTTGCTTCCAACCATCTATCTTTGCTGGTAACCGACGCCATTCTCGGTTGAGGATTTTGAATGTCGCACTATCATGGAACAAACACGTACCATCAAGACACGGGCTCGTACGGGCTGCTTGACTTGTCGCCGCCGCCGAAGAAAATGTACGGACAGTTTGAGACTCTTACGCATTGAGACAGCGTGACCGTCACGGTTAATCCCCCAACTAACGACGCTCATTTTTATCCAGGTGACGAGTGCAAGCCTGTTTGTCGGAATTGCAAGGCCAAAGAGTTTGCATGTCAATATCCTGCCTTGACCTTTATCACAACGTCGCATGAGAGGACTGAGCCTCTGGATGATACGCGAAGTGGTTATAGAGCAATCAAGGTAAGCCTAGACGCAGGATGCCCGCCGTGGCCGTCCACACTGATTGCAGAACTAGTTTGTCCAGAATCCCAGTTCCAGAACTTCGTCCAAAGTCCGCACGCGGCAAGCCTTGCACGAAGTCCAGCACGGCGAGATGGAATTGGAAATCAACGCAGAGACCGATGGCAGCCCTACTGATATTCCCCAGGAAATCCCTGTTCTTTCGATGAACCAGGCCGAGTCGACGTCGACGCCGACGCCGGGCGAACAGGTTGCATTGTCACCCGGAGCTGCTGGAGACGTCCAAAGCACGACGTCTTATGGTAGTGGCCTCAAAGCACCGAGCGCAAACATTTCATCTTCGTGCACGATGGACGTCGGCAGCATAATAGCTTCTCCATCGTGCACGCAGCAACAATCGCCACTGACCGCTACGGCGAGCAGACTCCTGCAGTCTGCTGACCCTCCAACATCTAACAAAAATCTCGAAACCCTCCTCGTGTGCCACTTCCGATACATTTTGGCGCCACTTATCGATGCTGGCGACCATAAGGGTCCATTCGGTGTCTCGGCCGTCCTCCTCGCTCGAGACCATCGTTCCATCATGGCGGCGATTTTGGCGGCTTCGGCTTGCCACCGTGCCGTTCTCTCGCCATCGACCAAGAGTCGGGACCTTGCGAGCAGTCACCACTACCGACAAGAGGCAGAAATCAGGCTGGCAGATGAAGCCAGCTCGATTCAACTCATAGGACGGGTTCTATTGAGCCTCGATTTGTTTTTTCAATCAGGGCCGAGTCAGTGGAAGGACTACCTCTCAAATATGAATACGGATTTGGACGCCTTGGCTTCACAAGCACCTGCTGGGCGATGTTGGGAATCGCTTTTATGGTTCTGTTTCAGAATAGGTCAGCCCTTCGCCTTTATGGGCTCCCCCAAACCCGTAACAGAGCGGAACATGGGAAAGAAACAAAGAGGTGCTAACTCGAGTATGCTACAGACCTCGCAGCATCTATCTTCGCCGAGAAGCCACCGCAGACTCCGTTGGACGTCTCGTCCCAGCACATTGTGCTTTCCGACGTTTTATATCCTCAGTCTAGCTCCTGGCGGCGGCTTTATCACTCTGTTCTCCAGACTCTCCACAAAACACTCTTTCTCGTACGTGGTAGTCGGAATACGCCCTGTTCCCCGACCATCACGGGCAATACTCCACCCATGGGGTCAAGAACGGCATCAGACTTCTTATCCGGCTGGGTTGACTTGTGGCACGAATCCCAAACGTGGTACCACGAGCTTCCTGCCTTCATGCGGCCGGTGGTGGTGGTCCCAGCCACAGAAGCGAGTCAGCTTGACCCCGACGAGCCGGCCTCATTCCCAGCCTATGTCTATACAAACACGTTTGCATTACTGTCAAATATGGCCTATCATATCAACAGTTTGTTGCTCCTTTCATACAAACCGCGAATTCTGGAGGCGTCGGCAACCCCAAAACAGGCCCTATCCCAGAGCTGGCACACATTGTCACTCGCAGGCACAGCAAGCAGTAACGATTTTCCGGAACAGTGGGACCCTGTAGTTGTTGCAGGTCTGCTGCTCGTAGCCAGGAGATTGACACACAAGGCCCAGCAGGCCGCACTCCTCTTATGTTTGGAGAGGTGCACTGCCGTTGCGGGGATCATGCTAGAACATGAGGTAGACGAGGTTCGAAAATTGTGGGAAGTCTCTCGATGCTATACTTGACCGGTGTCTCCCACAGCCTACTTCCTGTTATGAACGAGCAGCACGCGCCCGTCACTCTCCGGGGTCCAAACCGCATGGTCTGCGATCTCATATGCGAACGGAATGCTCTGGCTTGCCCCAGCGCACTCTACGCAACGTCCTGCCGCCACAGTTGCTTCCTGGACGACGGATTCGATAATGGTGTCGAAGCTTTCAAGCGTTGCTCCGGTGGCCATGAACTTGGCGAATCGGCAAGCAAAGTAGCCGACGAAGGTGTCTCCAGCTGCAGTTGTGTCGACAACTTGCCTCACTGGTCGAGCCGGACACCGGCCCAGCAAACCAGAGCAGGTCGAAAAGAATACACCTTGTGCCCCCAGGGTGATAAGGACGATTTTGACCTCCAAAAGCTTGTGGAGCTGCGCGGCAAATTCTTGTTCGTCCAGAGGTGGCGACGAACCATTCCTTGGAGCAGTCGACATGAAGCCGGCTATCTGCCCGGCCTCGGTTTCATTCATCACCAGCACGGCGGTGCCTCTGAGCGATCTCGGCGGTATACCATCCGGGAACACGGGAGCCGGGTTGAATATGACATGTTGTCTGCGGCTGGGATCGTTGAAAAGACACAAAAGCTCCAGGACCGTCGATCTCGGAATTTCGCCCTGCATCAATACAACATCACACTCGACTTTTTGCCGCGCGATAACATCAAAAATTTGGGTCGCGTCGCTCATTCCCGAGTGGTTAACGCCAGGCACAACAAGGATCCGGTTCTCCCCAGCGGAGCTTTCGTCGACGATGATACTTGCTGATCCGGTCCGGCCGCTGCACGCTCGATTGACGTGCACAGTGCTCACTCGACAGCCATCACATATGGGCTTGACGAGCGTGTCGTGGAAGTGATCCTCACTCCCAACGGCACCAATCAGATTAATCAACATGTCTGCTTGACCGGGGGAAGTGAAGGACGCGCGAGCGCACGCAACCGCCTGATTCAGTCCCTTTCCTCCCGCCCAGGTCGAAAAGGCTCTCGCAGTCAACGTCTCTCCGGGACCAGGAACGCGGGATGTATATGTGACGAAGTCGACGTTGATGGAACCAACGACGCAGATGTGTGGAACTTTGGCTCTGCCGTTGGCCTCTACTATCAAGTCATCCTCGGGTGCCATTTTCCCTGCACACCAAAGTCCGGTACTGGGAAGGGGGGTTGAACAAGATAGGTGAGGATTCCCGACTGATTATTCCAGAGATCCAAGACAACCGTCTCCAAGGGTTTCAAGCCTTGGATAGAATCCGCGGAGAAGGCGCCCCAAGCCTCCCTGGACAAGGTTTCAAACAGGGATATTTGAGGATTCAAGTCAGAACAAACCATTCCGAATCAGTCGGTGTCTTACTACACAGAATGTGGCACTGGGGTTCCATCTTGGATTTCATTCCCGCGGTGGAACCCAAGCACATGAACCACTTCAGTCGCAAACGCCGAGAAACAGAGCAGGGGGCAAATTTCTCAAAGAGGAAGTCCAACCACCAGCGAGTCTAGCCATAGACTGGTCGTGTGGGTATCCAGTCGGGAATGCGGTACGATAACTATCCTTGAGGCCGTGCTTAAACAGCGGTGGCTCGCTGCTCGGGGACGATAGTATTACCAATCAATTATGCCCATTCTTGATACTGAGCAATTCTTTCTGTGTCAACAGCAGATCAGTCTAATAGTTTCGCTGGTGAACGCAACTTTCCGAAGCGTTCTGCTTCTCTACTTCTTTAGATCTGAGGATATCTTGGTAAGGGCAAGTTCTTCAATCCGGCACTTGGTCGCACGCGAGTATAAATACACATATGAGCAACTATGTAGTCTGAGATGTGCCAAAGTGGCAGTTTTCAACCCTTGTCGACGGAGTAGACTGCTCGGAATTGAACGCAAAATCGCAATTTGCAGTAGCTATTGACTTCGAATCTCCCACCGTAACTGTGTTCCCTCTCCAGCATTTACCACCTGCCACTCTTAGTCAAAAATCTCACTGACCGGATTTGTTCTCGGGACCGTGTCGCTCAGCCTCTTGAGTGATGACCCGAGTTTCTTCGAGGAGGTCGATGCGGGTTGACTTGAATCGCCAGGCCGGAATGCGTTTCTCGAACAGGACGTCGACCTCCTCAAAAGTCCGGTCTTTGGTCTCGGGCAGGCGGAACACGGCCCAGATCAGGAGCAACACCGACGTGCCCAGCCAGACCAGGGCGGTCTTGCCCCGCAGGTTCGCCTTGGTGGGATTGATCAAGTAGGGCTCGACGACCATGGTGGTGATGAACCACACGTTCCAGAAGTTGCGGGCCATGGACAGCGTGACGGACCGGAGGCGGGTGGCCGACACCTCGGCGGCGA